ATACTTAGAGATGACTCTTGGAGTCATAGCAATTACTTTTGAATGAGCTTTATAAGCAACAAAAGTCTTTTTATAAATATAACTATATTTGTCCCTCACAGACATTCCATAAGGTTAATGAGGCAAGGGTTATTACTGTGGTTCAAGTGGCAGACCACCAGCTGTGAGCCAAACCCTAAGTTCAAGTACACACACACACACACACACACACACACACAGAGTAATTAACATTAGCTGAACATAGAGACAGGAGGATTGATGAATTCCAAACTAGCCTTAGCTACATAATGAGACCTGTCTCAAGAAAAAAAAAAAGAGTATTTTTGAACAGTCACTAGTAGAAGTTGTATTCAAGATTGTCTGTATATTAAGTCCTTCTATCAATTTTAGGAAGAAGAGGCCTTACTTTCTTGAACCCTCAGTTTATCACATAGCCCTAGTTCATGGAAGGTCAAGGAATATTTATTCCTGTTCTTTACCCATAATCATTTCCTGGGGTAAAAAATGGAAGGCAGAGAAATCATAAGAACTGACAGTGGGCCAGGGGCTGGTGGCTCACACCTGTAATCCTAGCTATTCAGAAGGCTGAGATCTAAGGATCACCTTTCAAAACCAGCAGGAAAGTTCATGAGACTCTTATCTTCAATAAACCACCAGAAAACTGAAAGTGGTGCTGTGGCTGAAGTGGTAAAGCACTAGCCTTGAGCTGAAGAGCTGAGGGACAGCGCTCAGGTCCAGAGTTCAAGCCCCATGACGGACAAAAAATAAACAACAAACAAAACAGTGAAAAAAGATGTTAGATTTCTTTTTGGTTGGCTTGTTTTTACTGAGTTAGATTGGAACTCAGGGCCTCATACCTTCTAGGACAAGTACTCTACTATTGAACTTTAGTCCTTTATAAGTCTTTTTTTTTTTTATTCCAGTACTGGGGCTTGAACTCCGGGCCTTGCACTCAATATTGCTTGGCTTTTGTGTTCAAGGCTGGTGTTGTACCACTTTAGCCACACCTGCACTTCCAGCTTTTTTTTTTTTTTGGCCAGTCCTGGGGCTTGAACTCTAGGTGTGGGCACTGTCCCTCAGTGTTTCGGCTCAAGGTGAGCACTCTACTACTTAAGCCACAATGCTACTTCTGGGTTTTGGTTTTTGGTTTTTTTTTGCTGGTTAATTAGAAATAAGAGTCTCACAGACTTATCTGCTCGGGCTGGCTTTGAACTGCAATCCTCAAATCTCAGCCTCCTGAGTTGTTAGGATTACAGGCGTGAGCCACCAGTGGTGATAGGTTTTTTTGTTGTTGTTGTTTTATTTTTGGTCAGTCATGGGGCTTGAACTCTGGGCCTAAGCGCTGTCCCTCAGCTCTTCAGCTCAAGGCTAGTGCTCTACCACTTGAGCTACAGCACCACTTCCAGTTTTCTGAGTGGTTTATTGGAGATAAGAGTTTCACGGACTTTCCTGCCCAGGCTGGCCTTGAACGGCGATCCTCATATCTCAGCCTCCTGAGTAGCTAGGATTACAGGCATGAGCTACCAGCACCCAGTTTGGTGATAGGTTTTAAAAACAACTTGACACTGTCTAGTTTACCATTTTGTTGTACAAGTAATCTCTGTCAGAGTAGGATGCCAATAAATCTAGTTTTTTTTTTTTTTTTTTTTTTTTACTGCATGCAAGTCACCTCTCGGGGCTCTTCTCTGTCATTGTGCCCCTGGCTCTCACCTCTGAAGGAGACAATCACACAAGGTTTGGGTGTAGGGCTTATGGATGGGACAATCTGGGCTGACTCCACTACAAGTTGAAGCATCTTCCACTTATTTCTTCCTCCTTTCCCTGCAGAGCTACAGATTCCTTCTGAAAGCTTTGATCCAAGTCTTCTCCCAGGATTCACCAGGTGAGGAGAGCTTAGCAACAGGAAGGGATGTCACAGAGGTGTATGGTTCTTGGTTCTGGAGAGGAACTCTGGGAGAGGAAGGCGGATAACAGCACATGTAAAGCCAGTGGCTGGAGGTGACTAGACCTGCACAAACAAAAAGACCTGGCTGCTTTGACATTTTCTCTTTCTCTTCTCTTTTTCTTTTATTCTTGGTATCCTTTTGATTTCACAATCAGGCATGAGTTATGTTTTCTCCATTTGCACACAGTGACGATACTCTTAGGGGAGGAACCCAAAGGCACCATGTGCCTCTGATTGTATAAAATAATATTTATTGAAATGAATTCCATGAAATGAGAACAAAGGGTTTTTTTTTCTTTTCCTGTCTTGATTGTTCATTTCTCTTTGTGGGAGGGTATATAGAGAGCACAGAAATTGAGGGACAAAGGGTGAACAAATGCAACAGTGGTATTCAGTAGACACTATGTTGAAAATAAACTGTACAACTTGTGGGCAGATAAGAGGGAAAACCTGGGAGAGAGCAAGGGAAGGGGTGACATTGTCCAAAAAGAAATGTACTCATGACTTATGAAACAAGAACCCCTCTGTACATCACCTTTAAAATAACAATAAAAAGTTATGTTTTCTCTTTATTCAAGCAAGGTATCTGGAATGAGTCATTGCCAAAGTCATACAATTTAGATAAGAAAATAAAGCAAGGCCATTGGAGGGAAGATATAGAGAAATCAGGACTTTTTTCCCCCTGGCACTGGGGCTTGAACTCAAGGCCTGGAACTCTCACTTGACTCTTTTACTCAAGATGCTTGGCCACTGGAGCCACAGCTCCATTTCTGGTTATTTTGTTGATTAATTGGAGATAAGAGCCTCATGAACTTTTCTGCCAGGGGCTGGCTTCCTGAGAGCCTCAGATCTCAGCCTCCTGAGTAGCTTGGTTGATGAGCATGAGCCACCAAGTGCCTGGCTTAAAGAGTAAATTCTTGGGGCTGGCAAGGTGGCTTTGCGGGAGAGCGTTTTTGCCTAGCATGCATGAAGCCCCAGGTTTGATTCCTCAGTACCACATACACAGAGAAAGCCGGAAGTGACGCTGTGGCTCAAGTGATAGAGACAGCCTTGAGCAAAAGAAGCTCAGGGACAGTGCCCAGGCCCTGAGTTCAAGCCCCAGGACTGGCAAAAAAAAAAAAAGAATACATGCATTCACATGAGTGAGTGCATTCACTAAAACGGGCGGCTTGAATGCAGGTGATTCTGGACCCTGTTTTCATCACTCTGTCTCTGGGGTAGCGGGGCATAGGATGGAAAGCAACTGGGAGGGGTAAGGGAATGGCAAAAAAAAGAAAAAAAAAGCAACTGGAATGAGGGCGGCGATGACTGCACTGGGGCTGTCAGAGCCTCGCGGCCCTGGCTCCCTCCCCGCCCCACCACCCCCACAACCAATACAGAGGCCGGAAATGACTCCCTGGGCGACCCAGGCGTCCTTCCCGTTCCTCTCTCCCCAGGGCGAAATCCACCCCAGGCTTTGCCGCTCGCTGCCCTCGCTTCCCAGGCTGTAATCTGTTTCCGCATTTTACTCGGTACTCCGGGCCTCAGACGCCGAGGCGGTAGCGCGCACGCGCGCTGGGGTCCGGCCCGGGCGAGCGCGCGGCGGGCCGACTGCGGG